ATTGCTATCAAAGTTCAAAAATTTAAGAATCATTAAAAATCTACTTTGAATAATAAGTTGATTGATCAATGAGATTCAAAAAAAAGATCTCATATTTAAAGAAATCATATGCAATATAAAAACATATAAATTAAAAAAAAGAAAAAAAAAACTAGAAAAAATATTTATAATTAAATTATATATATATATATATATATTTATATTTATAATTAAATTATATATATATATATATATATTTATATTTATATATATTTATATTTATATTTATATATATTTATATTTATATTTATATATATTTATATTTATATTTATATATATTTATATTTATATTTATATATATTTATATTTATATATATTTATATTTATATATATTTATATTTATATATTTATTTATTTATTTAACCATATAAAAGTTTTATTTATTTTAAGTATTGGACAAAATCTTTGATAGCAAATAAATTATAAAATTTTACATATAACATGGTTTAAATGACCCCTACATTTATTTATTAAGATCACTCAAGGAGACAAGTAGTGGCTTTCATTCACTACATACACCTCTCCTGGTTTTCATCAAAAAACTTAATGTTGTCTAGAATTTAAAACGAAGTAAAAGCTTGACCAAAACTCAAGTGGAGTTTACAAGCAATTCACAATGCTCATTTTTTTTTTGCAATTGAATGTGATTCAAAATGTGATTGAAGCCACATTTTTTTTTCTATAACTAAGTATAATTGAATGTGAAGTTTAATAATTTCAAAGAAAATTGGACAATCAAATATCAGCAAGGCAAGGCACGAACTAAGAAAAACAATAGGATTTTACTAAATATACGTTGTTGAACATGTAGATTATTATTTCGTAGAGAAATCCATGGAATATTTACATATTGTATAGCTTTTATGCTTACCTTTCTTGTGCTTATCTCTCATTTATAATTTGACAATGTCTTGTGAAGTTCTTTGATGGATAGTTAGGAAAACAATTATTAATAAATGAATGGTTAATATTTTTGAATTATTATTGTAATAAATTGTTGATTTTGAAAATTTTGTCAATTACATCTATAATTCAGGATCTAAAAGTATACATGAGCTTTGATTTGGGGTGAAAACTTTGTGTTTGTTTTGTCATATATGCTATTTGTCAAGTAACTACATACTTTTTTTTTGTTTAAGGTATATTATTTTATTTTTCTTTGTGTAGGTAATGACTTTGTGACAAAGTAATGACCAAATTTTATATGTTGATTTATATTGTAGGATTTTTCATCTTATTATTGAAGAAGTTGTTTTTAGATTACAGGTGCTAGAAATCGTAAAATTGCTATGGATGCTTTAAAGGTTGATATTGGCTTTGATTACATGTATTTTATATGCAACTAAAGCATGGTAGAAGGACTTTCCCAGATAAGTAATTTCAACAACTATCTAATTTTGTAGAAAAGATACTACTTTAGAAGCCTTGCCAAACATATAGAGAATCGACCATCATTAGTTTATAAGTTCCAAAGAATTACAATTACAAAGTAGAGACAAATGAAGGCCTCATTTTGCCTATATTAGAAAATATCTAGTACCCATTATTTTTGCTAAGCTTTGTACATTCTTTTGGTGTTTTAAAGTGCAAAATACATGATATTAGCTTTTCATTGTGCTTGATATCAGATATATATATATATATATATATTCTTTACTCAAGAATGAATAAAATTGAACAATGTCATTGTATGCTGGAACTTGAACTTTGCATTTGATCACAATAGGTTTTGAACACATTTGATCATGTTTTTGCTTTTGATTTGGTCTGTGCTACAGGTTTAGATGTAACATTACACCTTTTCTTTTCTTTGCATTTGATTTTTTATTTCATTTTTTGCAAGTAAGGTTGAGGAGAGGGTGTGAAGTGGTTTTACATGTTTTTGTTTTATTTTTTAATGTTTCTGAATGTGTAATGAAGCTCACAATCATATTGCATTTTAGTTTTTTCATTCTTTTCATTCAAAATAAAGGTTGGAGGTACAAGCAAACAAATTATTTAATCCAAGCTGAAACATTAATAAAATTTTAAAACAAACCATGAGAAATAATAACCTTTTTTTTTTTGTGATATCCAACAATAAGAATGCATCAACATTCATGATACATTGAGTACTCTCAATTTTGAAAATTAGAAAAAAATAGAACCATGCCAAGTTTGAACTTACATTAGAACTGGGCAATAGCAAGCATCATCGCCAAGATTGTAAAGATCAAGCATGTTAGCCACCTAAGATTAATTTCTTCGATCACAAATTTGACAAAAATAAAAAATAATTTTTGATGAAACTACTCAAGTGCTCAAGATTTATTTCGGTACAATTATAATTATATTTGGAGCTGACAAACTCAATCAATATTGATTTATATTATTATTAAGTTCTATCATTTCATAGATTATTGTATGTGTAGACCAATTATTTTAATTTCAATAAATATTGAAAATAATAATTTCAATAATTTCAATAATATGATAACATGATAATTTATTGAAGTAATTATCATAAATTTTTTCAATAATAATTTAATAATTTCAATTATCTCTTCAATTATCTAATGAAATCAATTATCGCTTCAATTATCTAATGAAATCAATTATCTTACAAATTCTTTTAGAACGTATTTCATATTTGATTATATATATTACATTTCATATTAAAAATTCTAAAAATCGTAACAATTGTTTTTAAAATCTATTATTATAGTATGTTTTAAAAAATAATATTCTAGATTTAATTATATATTCTATTATATATTTTATTTTTATTTTTTTGAAAAAAATATAAAAAATATTTTTTGATTCACTAACATTTGTAATAAATTGTAATTTGAGGAGTTCATTGTCACGTTTTTTCTAACCACAAATGTATTATTTCCATTCACAATGCACTGTTTGCAGTAAATATTTGTTTTTTCTAGCATTTAGAAGAAACAAGATTGCAAGTGAATAAAAAACCTGTGATTTTTGCTCATATGCAATTGCTATGCAACTTTGAATCTAACTTTTGCGGCATTGTTGTCTGCCACATTCACTCCAACACTATTAGCTTTATACAAAATAGTATAAGCTGCTTATTACTTTTCATTATAAAACTATTCCTAAGATACAAAAAGCACAATGAAGTGGAGCTATTTGCTAGGGGAAGATGAAGCCCAAAAACCACCAGATGCAGAGCTACCACTTCCAGAGTCTCTACAATTTTACAAGCCTCTTTTAGAAGTTCTTTCATCATGGGGTTGTGATCTACTAAAGGACATGTTTTTTTTCTCATTTATAATAGAATAAGCATAATCTGAAATTTAGAAATTTGATAAAAAACTAGGATGTCCTGCTAAGAGTAACTTGGTTGTATAGATATAGTGGAATTCGGTACATATGTTTTCTTTTTTGTATTTGATAGTGCGCTTCAATTTCATCAAGCATTGGGAGTGCGTATATAATCTCAGTGTAAGTTTCATGAATTTATAAGTAGGTTCTTGGAGATTTTGCACTTCATCCAATAAGGTGGTTAATTCCACACTAATTTTTTTTTTTCAACAGTTTTAATAAGATAATATTAGTATTTTATTTTATATTTTTTATATTATTTATTAACTTTAGTACATCTTTGATTGTCTTAACATACTTTTATGATTTATTAATATAATTTAATATTTTTTTATACTTTCACAAGTAGTTCTTTGAACAAAATTAACTACTTTTTTTGCATATTATCTATAACAATGGCATGAGTTTACTTATTCTACTTCGTAGCTGAAAGCTCCATTGTGAATATTATTTTTTTCTATTTGTAATATATTGTGTTTGTATTTGAAAATATTCTTTGGCTCACAAACATATCTTTCAAAAATAGCTTTATTTTAGTCACACTTTCCATGACAATAAGACGTGGATTCATCTAACAAGACATGGATTTACCTATCGTACTTCATAGTTGAAAACTCCATTGTATATTTTATTTCTTTTTATTTGTATTATATTGTATTTGTATTTGAAAAATATTCTTTGGATCAAAAAAATGTTTCATTTGGATCACACTTTCCGTGACAACACAGGTTCATCTAGTAGGTAGGTAAGGTGAAACAAGAAAATGTTATTCTATGTTGCCTTAGGCCTGTTCTATAAGAGAAATGTATTGGAATTTAGGATACTCTGTTCTTGTTTTTCATTTCTTAAACCAAGCATAATCATTTCCATAATTACCATGTGTTGTTTTGCTAATGACCTGATTTTCCCAAGAACAAAGGGTCTTCCCGCCACATGCTCCAAGGCAAGTAGTGTTACCACTTTCCAGCTCATAGTTAATGTTGAAACACCTTAAACTGTTATCTACCCTTGAACCAACTCATAGACCTTATTTAAACCGCCCTTGCACAAACCAAAAACTCCCCGTTTTTCCTGTGAAAGATTCCAAATACATTGCAAACCCACGAATAATCGGAAAACTTTTCAAGGATGAAGGATGTAGTTTTGTGTGATGGAAGTGCATGCTTTTGCTCAAGTCTACAACTCGGTTTAGGGATAAATTGCAAAAACTGCTGTGAATTTTTTTATTAATTCAACCACTGCAGCGATTCAATTTTTTGCTTCTTGAGCACATCAGAACCTTATTTCTCTATCCACCACAAAAAAATTCCAAAATTTAACCCCCGGATATAGCTGACAAACCTTAAGTTGACGGTTTAAGGTGTTTCGACATTAGTTGCCCAGCCCAGCCAGCCACGCTGGTGGGTGTTATCCAGCACAGCACAGTGCGCACACACACTGGGATGGGGGGTGCCAGCTCAGCGGAGTCCAGTCTCCACTGCAGCGAACTGCCACGTGGGAGGGACTCGCCACAAGATCCGTCCTGAAAGTAGGGGAGAAGGGGGCCACCTGGCTGGCCACTTGGGCATCCACTTGGCATTCACTTCACTTCACTTGGCATCAACTTCTGCACTGTGGCTGTGCTGTGCCAGCTTGTTCGGGAGGCCCGTGTGGTTGCATTCTAATGGGGGTTTCTATGTTTAGCATTTCCCAATGCCAGATCAAGCAGATGATCCCTGCTGAAGATCTACGTTGCGCTGCAGAGTTGGCCATTCCATGAGCAAACAATGGTATTATGCCGTCTGTGCGTTCATCCAGCTTTTGCTGTGTAGCCGCGTGTTATGAATCCAATTCGAGAATCAATCTGTCAGTCTGTTGTTTCTGATATGGCCTCGTTGATGCATTGCTGGCAGTGAGAGATTCGTCCTTCCACTTCGGTTAAGATCTCCTGCTGCCAATTCGTATTGCTGCCTATTCGTATTGCTGCCAATCCGTATTTCTAAGATCGATCTGCCGTCTCTTTGTTCCTCGCTCGTGGAATTCTCGTCCGCTCTCCTCATTGTGTCTTGGTAACCTCATTTAAGCGATGTCTGCAGTAATCGTTCAGCTGCTCTTGTAATCAGTACAGCACAACAGAATCAAGAGGACCATATTACCTTCAGCTGAATTTTGAAGGGATTAAGAGCGTTAATTTTGGGTGGCACTTTGGTTGCGACTGTGGTGAGTCCTTTACTCCCAGTGTTTTTGATATCCTCAATTCCTGTTCTTTAATTGCTCCGCTTCATGTCTTGTCTCATTTATGTGACAAGTTCGGAGTCGCTCAGGTGTACTCTGGTAACCCTGGATGCAGGATTGGCTTCGGTTGGTGTGTTGTGAGAAAATTTATTTGTGAGCATCGATCAATTCTTTCCAGCTGTTCTAGTGCGGGCTGTGTAACGAAGGTGGGAGTGCAGGTCCGGGAATAAGAATGGGAGCTCAAGTTACGAAAGAAAAGCAGGTGAAGGGAGAGAAGCGGCAGCTCAAGGAGCAGGCTTCCGCCACTGAACCTCTCACATTTCCAGGCAGCGACTTTCATCATCCCAACCCCAAGGTATGGATGTCAACCCTCCCCCTCCAGAACCTGAGGATGCGTGATGTGGTGTGGCCCGGCACCCACGACTCCGCCACCAACAAAATTGGCTTCCCCATGGTGTCTCGTCCCTTCGCTCGCTGCCAGAAGCTTTCAGTGTATGACCAGCTGTGCATCGGAGTCCGCATGCTGGACATCCGTGTGCAACAGGACCGCAAGGTTTGCCATGGCCCTCTCAAATCCTATCTTATTGACGTCGTCATCGAGGACCTGAAGAGATTTTTAGCAGAAACTGATTCGGAATTCGTCGTCCTTGAGATTCGGACCGAGTTTAACTATCAGGATCCTCCTGCTTTCGATCAGTGGCTCATTCAGCAATTAGGAGAGTATCTGGTTCCGCAAGACGGAAGCTTCTTCGCCAGGCCATTGATCGAACTGCTGCCCAAGCGCGTGATTTGCATTTGGAGGCCTAGACAGTCTCCTGCGCCATCTCCTGGCTCCCCACTCTGGAGCTCCGCTTACATCAAGGACAACTGGATCGATACAGACCTTCCCCTGACAAAATTTCATGGAAACGTCACTAACCTTCAAAAGCAGCCGCCCAACGATCAGAGGACGTACTTTTACCGAGTGGAGAACACGGCTACGCCACAGATCACGGGGCCTATGCTTTGTGTATACCCTGTTACGAACCGCATTCGAGGATACGCGCGCCTGTTTTTAGCGGAGGTATTCAAGCAAGGCCTGGGAGATCGGTTGCAAATCTTCTCGGGGGACTTTGTAGACCAAGAATTTGTGGATGCTTGCATTGGAGTCACCATCGCCCGCAATAACTTGCAAATGCTACAGCCTGCCGCACCTGCTGCATAGTGGACGAACAATGCCACGGATGTCGGTGTGCAAGGCTGTCAAAGCTGTAACATAGCATCTTCATTCCACGTAGAGTCTGTGTACATTTTCAGGAAAGTAGGGGATTTAGACGCCACAGTCTTGGACACGGAGAATACGTGGGTCCAAGATCCATGTGTGGAAGTAGCGAGCTGTTGGAAGCAGCATTTGAGGGTCAACAGAGCCTTGTACAGTCGTGTCAGAGTTCATGCCTCACCCCTTGTGTCGTACTTGCCGTGCGTCGCATCCTGCTATTGTATTTTAAGTGTGAAAGAACCTCCGCGAGCTACTTTTGGATACCAATCACAGACATCCCTCCTTATGAAAGGAAAGGCACTCCGTAAAGAGCAATTAGATTTGGAGTCTCCGGAGAATTTCCTATCCATACACTCAAGTGCCGAGTATTCTAGATCAAAGTTGGGTTTTCAGAATAACACTACAGTAGATTCAAGTATGATCTCGCTATTTCTTTTCCTTTTCATTGTTTTCATTCTTCATTCCAAACCAGAGATCGCACAGTTCCATCAACAACTTTTTTGAGTTGCTATGACAAGTATCCTTTCAAAAGAGTCAGCTGTTCAAAATCATCTAGCATTTTTTATTGTCATGTGGTTCCCTGTATCATTCTATTTTATCAGCCTTCAACTTCTCTGTCTTGAAGATCCCAGGAAAGCTCTGGGAGATAATCCTCAACTTCACAGTAATCACTTCCCTCATTCTCTAAATATAATCGACTTTTTATTGTGCTTTTGAGATGCAACGCAGAATTCATTACATTGCAGTGCATGGTGCTTTTGAATAAAATTGATGTGTGTATTTACATTCATGAGAAAATGAGTTAGTCAAAATATGTGTAATATTCAATTGAGTACTTCAAAGTTAAATCCCGAGAGAATAATCAAATAAATAGATGAATAAATAAATTTCAATCTCACAGTCGTGGGCTTAAACCACGCTAACCCACCCCAGTTCTTTTCTAAACTCCTGAGTGAATGTGTTGTAAACCTCATGGAAGACACCCTCTTGCTGGACAGGAAGGTAGTCTGAAAAGATCTGAGGTGGAGACTGACAGCTCGTCTGAAGTGCCGGTTTCAGCTCCAACGACAACGTTTCCCTCAACCAACAAGCGGTCAGACAGGGCCAGTTTTCTGTAAAAAATCTCGTTCTCTCGCTCCGACAATGCAGAGAACGCTTCTTCAAATTATGTGGCTTGATGATTTTGAAACCCAGGAAAAAATAAATGTAGTTGAACTAAACATCGTCCTATGATGCAGATTGAAGTGGTTTGCCATTTGTTCTTCGGCACCATCTGGTATCTAACCCCGCATGTTTTAATGTGCACCTAATCAAGGCAATGAAAAGAGAACATCTCGTGCTGTTCTATCATTGGGGCTCAATTGATGACCTGGGAATTTCACTCCAAAAGATTGGCTGTTGTCATGATCCGTTTCTCTTGGTGTGATAGGATCCACCTCTACCGCTTTGTCCGCCTTGGATAAGTCTATTCTCGTTATCATGCCCACCACCCTGCCCACGAAACCAAGTTCCCCAAATGAAAGTGACATTTTGAATCGTCGTTTCTTTAAAATCTCCTGGAGTGCGTGGGGAAGTATTCTACCCAGAAAGGATGCCAAGTCAAAAGTATACTAAATCAGTTGTTACGCATACTTGTGCTCTACAAATTCAGCCACTCTACAAATTACGCATAACTATTTGACATCATTTCAGGGTAGAATTCATGTTGGCAGAATCTGACCTGTTGCTTGCATCAGTCACACAAAGATGTCTCAAGCCCAGCGTCCGGAAAATGATGTACACTCGCCGTGCTGAGGTCTCAGCCCGCACCTGTTAAAAGTTGCAACTGTAAGCAGACCTCGTAGCGGATGTACAAGAAGCAATTCATGCATGATCAATTAATAACAATCATTTACATGGCTTCAAAGGAAAGGCCCTGAATATTCACCGTTAAAGGCGCACGGTTCATCCATGGCCGGAAATCTACTGCAAATTCTTTGCCAGAATCTTTAGACTGCTTCACACTATCGTACTTGTGATGAACTTCAACGCTGTCGGTGCCACTGCCGCCATTCACAGTGGGCAGTGTAGATTCCTTACAAAATAAGAAAAAAGGAGTCTCACGAGATTAAATCCTTCGATGATAATCAGGTAAGGAGAATTGATATATGATTATATGTAAATGCCTTCTTGTCTTTTCAGGGACTAATTTCATGTAACGAGAGAATCGTACCGGTAAGAGTTCAACGATTTCAGTTTCATTAACTGCTTCAGGTCTTGAGCTTAAGTATCGCCGGTGGGGATGATGACTGTGGTGGAAAACACGCATAAGTCTGTCCAAGTACTTTTGCTCTTTCGTCAGCACAGGCAGACGAAAACCCAGGCCGTGACGCACTTGACGACCCACAAGTGCTGAATCGATCTCAAAAATAGCACGTTGCTCTAACAACAACAAGATCTGGTGTCGTAACATGACTCCAACCAGCTGACCATCGAGGTCCAGAGCATCTCCGTGCGTTTGTTGAATGATAGGAAAACCATTGTGGGATGTTTCACGAAGCACCCTGACAACCTCTGCCAGGGGAGTAATCTGCAATGGAGGTAAGAAGTCAGAGAACTCATCTTTCCTGGAGAGAGTAGCGTGACTTCTCGTCAACCTGTTTCAGAGAGATGATAGTTACCTCGCGAAAACAGATCACATCTGGTGCCATGATATCTCTGGCCGCGATGAAGTGAAGGTTTTGTGATGGCTCACTTTGCAAGAAATGGACTTCCCCTGTCATATACAAAAGTAAATAATTATCTAGTGTTTATAGCATCTGTCTGCAATTAGACCATAAAGATCAAGTATCAAGACATGTAGGCAATCTTAGTGAATACACAAAATACTTGCGACTTGAGAGACTAGCGAATATTTTACCAATTCGCTCCAAGTCGGATTCATATGCCCCTTCCGTGTGAATATGGTGGGCCACCCAATTGGAGAGAACAATAGCAAGTATAACGGGCAGCAACAACTCAATTCCTCCTGTGCCTTCCACAATGATCACCACCTGCATGAATGTGTTTAGTCATCACATTGATGCCTAGTTAAACCAGCATGAATTGGTACGAATTACTTGAATGCAGCAACATGTCTAGACGCGCTGACCATTACCCCAAGAAGAGACATTAAACAGGACTAAGAATTGGTGGACACTCCATACAGGCAAAAACCGGAATTTCAGCTAAGAGTAAGCATTCACCTGCTTTATTTCCGACTTCAATCTGTTGAAACGTCTAAATTTTTAAGTGTATTTACACTTTGGTCATTAGTAACATTCTTAAACTGATATAATATGCTTCTATATAATCATAGAAGTGAAGAGTAGTTAGAATCGCATTATTCCAGTGAAATAGAGGTTCGAAAAACTCCACCAAGCATAGAAGTCGCTCCCACAAGCGCATGCATACCCGGTTGTACTGACCACCTATGAAACAAGCCAGCCATTATTAAGAAATGTAGGATGACTTAGATGCCATAAATAAATGCAATTTTCACGGGTAAATGCTGAATTCATATATCGTCGAATTAATTTTTCTAAATTCATGTCGATTTTGATTTGGTACGAAGCAACTAGTGAAATGAGCTGAAGCTTTGTGTTCTCTGGGGAGTATGTTTTCTTCGGGTTTTCAAAATTTAAGCTGGACAATCAGAACTATGAGGACGTAAGGTTCTTCAGAAGCCCAGAGAAATGGTAAAGATGTGCTGATAGTATTCCTCACTGTGGAAAGAAGAGAACAAAAACGGCCCCCATAAATGCTCCGAAAGATGCACCAACCTGTGAGAGCAGTAGTCAAAGCGAAGCAGAGGAAGATAGTGGAAAATTTTTAAGAAATAATCACATCCAAAATCTCAAGATGCTTACCACATATAGACTCGTACATGCCTCTCAGATCAGATTCCAAAGAAGCCAGCAGTAATGTGCACAAAAGCTCTCGGGATATAATTTGAACGACTGGATTTATGACTTCACAGGAAAGGGTGAGAAAACTTGCCATAATTGAAGGCATAAAGATGCCACCTGGAGCCGCAATGCCATAGGCCAGGATAAATAGCAAAAGAAAAGAACTCGAGTAGATGGCCAAACTGCCAATGGTAAACGGAGACTCTCCAGTGCCTCCTAATGCTAAGAGCTGCTGGATTGTCTGATATGTAAACGAATCTTTCATTCAGACTCCAGATTCACATTCAAAGTACAAAACAACCTGCCAACTATTGTATGTGCAGAGAAGATTTCATATTGAGTACTCATTGAGCAGAAACACATCAGTGGAAATGAGATATAGAAGTACCTGACGTGGGATGGCAAAGTAGAGAGAGGCTAAGTCATTGTAGTAATGGACACCAGATTCCTCATCTGGTAACGGACATGTGTAACGGTACCAATAATCATCGTCTTCTTGGCTGCACAAGATAGAACATGTCAATTTTATCACCTCATACCTAACCCTCGTCCAGATGAAGGTGCACCTTCGCAGTGAAAACTGCAATCATGAATACTAAGGCAAAGAATTTCTACAACGCTTCCCACTACTAATGTGAGCATTAGATATTCTATCAAGCTGTGATATTGGCGTCAATTTCATTTGGTGAATACCCTCATCGACCTGAAATAAACCGGTCATCTACGTCTACTAGTAGCGGACAGGAGACATGATTTCATTGCTAAGAGATTGAATGATGGCGACCAGTTGGAAGCAATATATACCCTTTCTGAAGGGGTAGGCAATGTCCAAAATAATAGGACAGCAAAAAAATTGCGGCGATTGAAGTAAATGTCACTAGACACGCCTCAAGCACCCTGTAAATATTGACCAAAACAACACAGCTTTATGCACCTGTAGTGGCAAATTACGGTCTAGGAAATTCAGTCTGTAACCACTTGCATGGCGACCAAGTCTTGCCAGTCATGGCAATGGCATTACAAAACAGTCATTTCACCCGGTTGATGCAGAACTGTCGGTAATTCAAACAAAATTACAAAGAATGGAGTCAGGTTTTTGTGAAGCGTCCAATGAACCTCAGAGACCGATACTTTGAGGATGGTCGAAAATGAGCGAGCCAATCATGGGAGATGTTCAGGAAAGCACCGATAACACCAGCCAAGACGCTTGTGACCACAAAGAGTGGCAGGTCTATGAGATCAAATTCAGGCTAGCAGAATGCAAACAAGTGAATACTCATTAGAGTGAACCCACATTCTCACGAGTTAGATAACTCTTGCATACCAAACAATGCGGTGAACAAACCTCTGAAATCATAGACCAATCTTTGAAATGTTTAACTTCATTTCCTGTTTATAGTAGATAATTGATAATTTCATCGTGCTCATATCCGAAACCAAGCTGCTATGTGCTGTCCTATTCTGATACGACAAAGTTGAAATGCAACCAAAACAGCATGAAAGAGCATCGAATAACCTAGACTCAGACAAAATTTATTTCTTCAAAAAAAGAGATTATAGAAGTCAAACAAGAAGACATGCATCCGTACAAGATTAGCCTGGTCATTGGGGAAACGATATACACATGATTAGTTATAGTCACTAAACATTCGTATGTACATTGAATGAATAATTGATTGTAACAATTACCTTGAGACCTTGAAAAGAGATTGTCCCAGGCAACAAGAAAGAAAATTGCCTGTCACATCCAGTAGAGCTTATGAAGTTTAAGTGACGAGGACCTGCAATCACCCAGTACTTTCGTGTGCAGAACCTACAGGACTAAGTTACCAGTGAAGTGTGTTCATGTATTGCAAAATTATATCGTGTTGACCATAGTGTCAAAAGATCAAGAGAACAGGATAAACTACCCTTTGTTTAGCCATGATAAACCCATGGTTGTGCATGTTGTACATAAGAGAGACCGCCACATGACCTGGTCAAGTAGAGAACCATTCACAATCGTAAAGAACAAGCCAGAGATACATACATAAATTCCAAGGTCATATATTGGTAGACTTTACAGTGTGCATCAGAGTGATGTTCGATGTGCTTTACATGAAAATGTCAATTCACAGACAAAAAGGAGTTATTTGTAAATTGTAAGAACCTTTCTGGACCAGAAGCTGGAGGCTTCCTCCATAGAAAACAAGACTCCACCGATCGGTGCACCAAAAGAAGCTCCCAACCTTACAAAAATAACAAAGAAGTTTGATTTTGGTCAATTTTGAACCAACAATTGGAAAGGAAGATTTGAAAGCCTCACAGCTTTCGGCTGAATTCGTTCCAAAACGAGATCTTTGTTACACACACGAAGTCCATTCTTAATGGCAAAAGGTAAGAGAAAAATGACGGATAAGATGTGTATACCCAGCTGCAGCTCCAGCCGAAATGAATTCGCGCCGATCCTTATCGTTATGAAAATCCTGTATGAAACTTTGTTGACGTCATTTAAGTATTTCCCAGACACCCTTGCCCTAAAACTCACGTACTTCACAAATGCCACACTTACGATGATCAATTACCCACCATGGTACCAAATTAGCGGCAAACAAATTAGTTCAACCAAGCATTTGAATCATTTAATAAAAATCCTTACTTACGAATGCCCAAGCTTGCAGTGTAAACTGCCTACACTTTTCGAACCAGGTTTGTGGGAGCCAAACGCTATGCTTTTTTATCGGAAACTGACCGCGCATCCACGTTAGTTCAGATGCAATTGCACCCCCAATGTGAACCATGGGTCCTTCTTGCCCAATCTGAGAACAAAATTGCGAAAGAACGCTTATTCAGGAAGCGCCATTTATTAGGAATATGAATAGTCCACATTTTAGTAATAAAATATATAACCAACGAAGCTGTAAAAAGGATAACCAAGATGAGATACTGTAAGGAGAAAATAAATAAATAAATAAAATTAAAAGAAGTGAATTGGTAATGGGTAATGATGCGCACAGGTAATCCTGATGAAACTGTGCAGATGGTGCCGAATATCTGCAATAACACAATCGCGTATGAGAAACCATCCTCAAGCTAGACAGGAACGAAGCAAGTTGAAAGAAAGCACTAGCTGTTTGACTCTATTCAGGATGACCATTGAAGTGTAACAAAGCATCTTGAGAGACAGTAGCACACCTTCGTAAAGAAAGTTCTGTGCCGGAAAAAATCAGGAATATCGTTCCCATTCAAATAAGCCATGACAAGAGTAACCTGCATAATACACACCAATATGAAGTCATATTAAATGAAAAAAAAAAGAAAAAAAGGGTAGAAGTAAAGCGCACAGTTTCAGAAATATAGTATGAAGCGTGCACTATGAACGGAGGAATAGATTCTACGCATTACTGAAATGAATTGGGGCTGTTTAGGATCTAAAAAAGAGGGGTACGTACACCACCACCGGCGGCTGCTGGAGCCCAAAATATAACCAAGCAGCTTGAAAGAAGAACCAGAGTTACACCCATTGTTGCGTAGTTAAAAAATGCAAGCCCTAACCCGTGCTCTAGCAATTTACTAGTCCACTCTTTCTGCAGCTCATCCAAATAAAAAAATTAGACTCATTGATGCTCAAAAACTGCCTAATATGATTTAATATCCTTGTGCAAGTTAAAATCCAAGCCATGAACCTCTGACAAAATCAAGTCCTTCTCAGAATTCAAATCGAAATCCACCCATACAATTCTACAACACATCCCTGTGATCCGCATAGAGCAATGTTATAGAGGATTTCCTGCAACGATATAAATAGCATTCTGCCTTATGCATATTAAAGAAACCACCAACATGACGTATCTCCGCACAGGACCGAAGATGCTCCGGCTATTGAAATTACGAATCACTATGATCTGAGTAACGTGGGATCATCTTTGAACTACAAAATGACCCACGAAGCGCTAGCATGTACTGTTGAGGGATACGCATTCCGAGAACATGACTTCGGATTGTCGGTATGGATTCTCAATCAGAACTGTACCTTGTAGGTAATAATAATTTCTTGAGAAGACTCGATGATGAACGCAATCAGTCCTACAATTGCAAGGAAATACTTAGTAGATAAGCAAGAAAACCGCTTTCAACCCTACAAACTTGCTTTTGTCCTAGAATAATTTGGCTGCAGTGCACATTTGCCTTTAAATTTCGGATGTAGTGTTGCATGACATTATGAAACATCGTCGTGAATCAGAACTAGCTCAACCAAGAAGTTGTTCGAGACACCAAAACAATCCCGAGAGATACTACGACGTAAGTCTGGCCTAAGTGGCAGATTCCACCATCTTAACATAAACTAATCTGAAGAAGCACAATGGCTTTAATTTCAGCTTTTAAATCAATCTCCTGGATCTTGAAACACGTTTCATTCTAACATGGGCTTTAATTTTTTTGAGAACGGTATACCAACAAGAAGTCCTATCATAATTGTAATCGTCCACTTTGCAAGTGTGAGTCCTGTATACCTGCATGCACAGACGATACTTAATTCGTCATCAGAACGTTGTTACGTTGACAACAAAACCTGTCTTGTATCTGCATCTGGGCTCTAAAAAAGATCAGCGACTGCCGTTTGATAAAGGAAAAGAGTGAAAATACGAGATACCCATAGATTCTACGATTACTTTGCCGCATATGAAGTTTTTCGTATACAACACTATGAATAGGATCATAGTCAAGGCTCTCAATTCCGACATCGTCATCGCTTGAGACATCAAATTCCTGATTATCGCCGCTCTGGTAACCCAGCTCCAATAGCAACGGATCTCCGACGGAAAAATCTGGGCCCCCCATAGAAGTGAAGTTTATTGAATTGCACACAAACGTGTGACTTCCAGAGACACAGCTGAGCTCTACTCAACAAAGCCAGCTTCACTTGAGAAAGACAATGACTATATAGCCCAGCAGGTAGTCACTGCCTCCATGGCCAAAATTACAACCTCCAGGCAACAGAACCAAAACACCTAGTTGTGCTTGGCAGCTGGAGTATCGAGAATTGCACCTACGAGGAGAAGGGTAGACCTACAGGTCAAGCGTCGAATTTCGTGCACACTAAGGAATCGGGAGCTCCAAGTATGCACTCCAATTGGACACGGGTCCCATGGAGACAAGATGAAATTATTCGAGAAGAATGGGAACCCAGAAGTGGTGGGATGGTGATAAAGAAGCGATGGTTCGTTCGGATGGTGATGGGCTGCTGCAGGATCGTTCCGATTGGTAACACCTCGGATCCGGCTGCTCTTGCTGCTGCCGCGGAGTGGGCAGGAGAGCAGTAGCCGCCGTGATGGTGACATTATCACCTTTCTCTCAGAATATGCTTGATTGAGCTTGAAGGTTCATGGCGACAGACTAGTAAGTTAGCCCGGAATGCAAGGGAGTAGCGAATACAATATTAGTAGAGCATTCATTCATTCATTCAATCAATGCCTCCCTCCCTCCCATGGATGAAGACCAGACGAGAGAGAGAGACTCCAGAGTGGGACATGCTTCTTCTTCTTCTTCTTCTTCTTCAGCGTGCGTGCTGGTGAAGGTTGTGGTTTTGCACACTCCACATCCCCCCCCTAGTGTTGGAAACTCACCCTTTTGTCAAGCCTTGTGTTGGACAACGTGCTCCCAACAGCACTCCACCCCCCCCCCCTTTCATGTAGCATTTCTCATACTCATGCTTCTTACTGTTCTCCTAATTCGACTCCTTGCTTATTCTTATTTCCTCTTCAAGGCTCCTCACATGCAACGATTAGAAGATGTAAAGCAAGGCACTTTGTAGAGGGAGAAGCTAAGTCTTTTCTCTGGATAAGCAACATTTGTCAAGCTAATCTATCAAATGTAAAGTTGTTGTTTACTCTTCCACGCAAGTATCAAAGAATAAAAAATGACATTAGAAAGTAATAGGAGTACATTGGCAAGAATGACTACAACGAAATTACAAGGGAAATAACCAAAAGATGGAATGGGTTAAAAACTACATTCTTAGACAATCCTTTTTAGAAGTTCTTGTTGCAAATAGACATTTTTTAAATGGATTGTGGTTGTATTTGTATGTTATTGATGACGTTGCACAAAGCAAGAGATTGCCAGAATCATTTTTTTTGTGAAACGAGCATGGAATTTAATTTTTAAAATTTTTAAAAAAATGTATATACATCAATTCTTTGAATAGTATTGGATCGAGATTAAATTCCAAAAATAGAACACTCTGTGATGAACTTTTAAAATTATATTTATAATTTAAATATTAGACGCATTTACATTAGGTAGATTATATTTCAATCTTTATTATTGTAAGAAATTTAAAATTAAAATCTATAGATCGTATAGTTTTTAATAGATTTAAATAACTTAGATTACTTCTTATGTATACAATGCCAAATTTTAAGATTCTAATATAAATCACATTATCTTTTAACTTTTAATCTATATACAGATAATTTTATCTGTTATAATTTATTTCATTTAAAAAAATATTTAATAGCTATAAAGCTACTAAATAGTTTATGATGGATTTTTCTATGGAAAAAAATAAACATTCAATTAATTTCTGGTAAATAAGAATTAAAATTCCTATTACTATTACAAATATTTTACTTATTTTTATTTTTAACTTTTTAATTACTAAATTATAATTTTTTAAATTGATTAGTTAGCAATTGATAGAGACTTATTTATATTTCTATATAAATTTATTTATCTAAGTATTTTTCGTATTAAATTACTTGATTTTTATTTAATTTCAATAAAAATTACTTTATGAAATTGGCTTAACTTTTTTATTAGAATCAGTTCTACTAAATTTAACATGCACAATTAACTATTGCTCTAAAACATACTCTCTAATAACTTAAAAAGACTTTAAATTGAATTGAATAAAAACATTACATCTAATCATCCACACCAAAGCAATAACTTTAACATTCTTGTATTTTGTACTATGTACAAACCATAAATACTCTTATTTAGCAACATGTAATTATTGCAATAGTTATATAAGATACATCATAAACTTGTAATTAAACTAATATTGTATCAAAAATTATTTGTATTCAAATTTAACTTTTGTTTATAAATTAGATTTGTTTTTTTAGTATGTATGTATTTCTATTCTTAAAAGCACAAAACATAATTGCCTCCAAACCTATTTACAAAACCTACACATCAAAAAATCACGCTCATTCACATTACATAAATAACTTCAAGCTGCACATCCTCACCTACATTGTGTTTTTGAAACATAAAAGAATTCCAAATTGCTTAAATTCTTTATTTTACACCTTCACAAATCCTTGGATAGGTGAAATACATTTCTTGATGCTATTTTCAACATTATTGTCGTGTTTTGCAACAATATAAAAACAACCACCCAACTTTTTTCTACCTTGATTGTGATATTTTTCCATTTATTCTTTGTATTAGTGCATTTGTGTTTTTCCAATGTCATTTTGCTCCATTTTAATACTACATCTCATTCTTATAACCTAGAAATTTTGTAATTTGAATGCTCTATCTCCATATAACATTGATCAAAATGAGAACTTAAAGAATGAAAAAATAAACAGAAAATAAAATAAAAACACACCTTTAAAACTTCACTATTCTATTTAAGGAAGCTATCATGTGAGAACTTATTACAATAGGCATCTATATTACCAGCCCTTATCAAAACGTAACATACTCTAAACTCCAGGAGAGAAATTTCCTTTTCTCCATTTTTTTCTCTTTCTTTTTCTGTGTGATTATTGTTATTATTCTTGTATGTGCCTTCTCTTCGATAACCAGAACGATTGTGGACGGAAACAAGGGCTCGATGTCCATTTTGCTTCACTGCAGTGCGCGGGCCTTGAGGCGGAGAGGCTCACGGCGAAGGCTATCTATAGATATATAGATATATAATAAGACATTGCTGCAGTGATGCCGTAATGAACAGAACTGTGGCCCCACTCCCGCCCCGCCCCTTCAAGACAGTTCGGAGGAAAAGGAGGCTGGACTGGCGACGTGGCTAAGAAACTGGCAGTCCCTCCATCAATCCATACCTCGCCCACCACCACCACAATACCCGTTTGTATGTATGTATGTATGAATGTAGTCTTGTAGGAGCAAGGGGGGATCGGGGTTCGGCATTTAGGGGTTAGGGTTTATCATCAAACCTTGACATGATGAAGGTTCACGGTACTGCTTCCTCATGATCAACACAAGTGTTGCACCTTGTGTCCCCTCCCGAACGGGTCACCTTTGCATTCTCTTGGAGCGTCATTGTGAAGCTCGTACAATTCTTAGGAGATTGAATTATGGGGTTGTGCCAGATGGTGTAAAACCCAATCCTCGAAGTAGGCAGTGAAAAGGCGGACGAGTTTAATGTCAGAGACGTTGTGTCGTTAGGGTTTCAGTTGAGCATTGCAATTGCCTAAGTTGGGATTTTACGGGTGTTCGATATGAGGGGCCTGGTCGATCGGCGCACTGTCGCCATCCTAACTAGATCTCGAGGTTCTGTTGCGTATATTCAGAGGTTGAGTTTCTCGGCTGGGAGAGGACGGGGACAAGGGGACGTCGACGGTGCGCAGGTTCCTGAAGCTGGAGCTGGCGGTGGCGCTGTTGTAGGCCAGGGTTTAGGTTTGGGAGATTTTGGGTTAGGTCGAGGGCGAGGGAGAGGTAGTACGTTGCCATCACCTGGTCACGTTGCTAGCCAGCCTCTTCCTTTTAAGCCTTTTACCCTTACTCCCGGAGTTGCAGCTGCGAAGACTGGATCTAGCCAGCAGAATGGTGCGTCAGAACCAGGAAGCAAGGTTTCGGCAGATGGGCGTTTTGACGATGCTGTTGCAGAGAAAGATGTTCACGATGCCCGAGGTAAGTTTCTTGATGTTTTTCCTGCATCTGATAGAGACCAAAGGTTGGGCTTTTCTCGTGCACGACAAGGAGCTGGGAGGGGTTCGCCTCTCTCACAATCGCCGCTTCCTTCGCCGCCATTTAGGAATGCAAGGCAATCTACTCCCAATGCGGACAAGATGCGAGCGAGTGCGTGGGGATCACTGTCTCAACTTCTTGCGGCTCCGAAGCCAGTTGTACAACCTGCTAGTCCCACGTCCTCAGCTGCAGAACAGCCGCAACTGTCTGGTACTGGAACAGACGTTAAAGAAACCTCAAACCTAGAGATTCCTGTGGAAGCAAAGGCGCCAAATATGACAGAGGGTGATTCCCAAACGTCTCAGGATGTATCTGAGCTTTCCAGCAAGGCACAGTCTTCTCAAACTGCAGGCGATAGGGTTGCTGATCCAGTACCTCAACTGTCAGATGCGAGCTATGTGGCTATGATCAAGTACCACCAAGCAGCTGGGCGATTTGATGAAGTTGGACAGATTTATGAGGAAATGCAGGCAGACTCCATCCCCATTTCTATTCCTACATATAGCTTGCTTATTCAAATTTTTAGTCAGGCAGGGCAATTTGACAGAATGGACAAAGTGTACAAGCAGATGCGTCAAGCATTGACACAAGTTAAGGAACCAGATGTGCATCTCAAGGAGGATGTGAAAAACGCTGTTGTTGACTCAACACCGGATAAACCGGCCCCAGCTCCTGACGTGCCTGTGACGTTGGAAGAGGTAGCCGTGATGAAGTCTTTGTCGGACCAGGGAAATGAAGCTGCCCCTGTTACTCCCAGTGACGAATTATCAGCGAGACTAGGCGAATGGGACTTACCAGCAGCAGATAGTTCTGGTTCTGCGGTGGAAGGAGATGTTAAATCCACCCAAATTCCTACTTTCAAGCTTCCAACTCCCGAATCCCCATCCACTTCAGAGACCGGATCTGCGAAAGGGTTTGCCCAACAGATTGAGGAATCGCAACGGCTACTATCTTTCAGGGAGCTTCTTAACATGGCGCCTCCGGGGGGCTCTTCTGAGTCTACTCCTAGGAAGGGAGCTTTCAACCCCTTCAATTTGCCAACAACGCCATCTCCCAGTATCTTTGGAGGAGCTGCAGGTCGTGGGAGAGGAATGCCTCTTCCTCAGCACGAAGAACAAGCAGGAAGGGGGCAAGGCGCTCCAAGGTCTTCACGTGGTGCCCTGCAATCTCAAATTGGAGCAGACGGTGCGAAAGAAAGGGAGGTCTCTGTCCGTGTTCAACTCTCAAGGGAGCAGGCAAGGGAAAGAGCCTTAGCGCTGCTGGCGAAAGGTGAAGATCAACGTTCACAAGCAAAAGCACCATCTACATCAGCTCCTGCAAGACCACAGCTGTCTAGGGAAGATGCAGTCCAGCGGGCTGTGGCAGTCATGAATGAGGGCGTGGAGAGGAACCTGTCTCGAGAGGAAGAGAAGCGAAGACGAAGGGGCGCTGTCGATAGTTTCTCAGATGCAACAACTTTAGTTGCGGATAGATTCCGGAGGAGGACACCTGAATCTGCAGCACAACAAGCTAAATCTCCTCAGGCAGCTAAGGATAGGCTCAGACGTCAACCTCGTTTCTTCCAACGCCGAGAGGAGGAGGAGGAGCCTCAAGTTCCATTAACCCTACGAGAGATGACTGAGGAGGACGAGAAGAGGCTAAGGTTGTTGGAGGAAGAAGAGCAGTTCAAGAGTTCTCTTCACTCCAAGTTTTTGCTAGACTTCGAGCCGGAGTATGCGATGGAGTATTTTGGTATCAACCCCGACATTGATGAGTTGCCTCAGAAGTCGTTGGAGGAAATACTTGCGGATGCAAAGCCTTATTTGATGATAGACGGCATGACAGAAGAGCAGTGGCAGGGAGAGGTACAGGATGTAATGGCGAAAGCACCGCACTTGGAGAATCTGGTCAATTTATATGCAGGACCAGACCGCCTCACAGCTAGGGAACAGAATTCGAGACTGCAGGCAGTGGCTGAGACCATGCCTGCACATGTTGGTCCGGAAATTCAAGATTTCATGTCGCAAGCTTTACTTACCCTTCAGAGTAATCCAGGAATCCGAATGCGTGAAAAGGAGCGGTTGATGAACAAATTTGTATCCGGCCTGTCTTCGTTTTAATCGTGCAAAATGTCAGGTAGAATACGTGTTAATTAATGGGAACAAGAGGATTCATGCACGTCTCCCACTTGTTGGGGGTGGTGTAGACTGATTTTGCTGCAATGTGGCATCATAATAAGTAAAACACAGTTGCACTTTCCATATCAATGGTTGGTCGACGTGTGTGTGTGCGTGCTATGTAATCTAGCATAGCATGATGACGTTAGATATCATGGAATTCGTTGCTTCTAAGTGGAGGCAGTGTATTGGAGCTGCCAATGCAGTTGTGTGGAGGAGGACTGCGTGTTGTGGTGGAGGGAGCGGGACTGGACAAGAAACAAGCTCTCTCACACTAGTTGAATGGTATCAGAACCACCCTCACCTCACTCTCCTCATGACATCGTCTCTCTGCCCTATCCCCCAGCTCTATCTTGCACTGGCCACGGCCTCCTAAGCCGGCAATAGGTTATGAAATTGAGTAATAGAAATTCGGAATGAATTGCTTTCGTCCCAAATGGATAATATAAAGTTAATAATAATAATAAAAAGTAAAAATTAAATGTGTATGAACATTCAACGACAGAGATCCAATCCATTTTTTTTTTGTCAAAAAATCTGAAATTGTAATTAAGAGATATACAATAATATGATTACGTCATTACTCATGATTTATTAGAATGATTATTAATTTAATGTGAGATATGTATACAATAGATAAAATGTGAACAAATAAACAAACAAAAATTCTAAGAAATAGAAGGAAAAGTAAATAGTGTTAACATGAAATTACTGAATGTTTGTATCTAGATAGAGGCGAGCTAGTGATCATAATAATAAAAACATACAAAGACGGTTGTTCAGATTGAGAACGATTTAAATTCTATCTAATAATAATATTTGAAATACATGAAATCTATTTGAAAGTCTTCTAATATATTTTGTACACACTGTTAAAGGAAACTTCTTCAACAAGATTTAGTAGATAAACTTCAAAATCGAACTAAATTAAATTAAAAACCCAAGTATTTTTGAAATCAACACGATTTACAACAAATTTCAATTTTTAAGGACATTGCCAAAAAGATTGCCTTATAGTTGCAAAGTGAGCCTCATCTAGGACCCATGACACATTTGCACAAAAACATTGCAATTCCTTTCTAATTGATGTTGTCAATAGCACGAGTTTAATTAGCAAAATTGAAGTATTTGTAGTTATCTACATTGTGTCGGTTCATTGCTGTTGTTGCTTCAGACGACTCTCCTTTCGCAAAATTTCATGGAAGATATTACGGAAGCAATTCGGTGTGATTTCAAAACGGAAGTAACAACGTGCTTAAGTTACATATGTATCATTCCGAGTACACAATGGATGGTCCTCAACCACCACGTTTCCTACCGCAATTTTACGAGTAATAAAAACATATTACACCATCATACAAGAAATTTGACGTCATCATCTATAAGAATGATTATATCTCTTGACTCACTCTTCATCCGTGCCATGTACCGTGGAAGCACTCACCCGAAAAGGTAATCTGAGAAGACTGCCTAAGAGAAGGCACTTAAATACCACAATGGCTATTCCCTTCCTCCGATCAAAGAATACCTCATGCTAAGTTGAATTTTGGCCGCTTTTAAGGGTGGGTTTTTCGGTACTTGCCAGTTTTAGAACAGATCCGGTTGTTACGCTCTCGAACAAAAAGGTCTAGACAAGTTATGCAATAAAATGAGAACACAACGAGTACAACAGCAAATGCCAGAATTCTAGATCTAGGGCACGTCAATAGACTTGAAGAGCTCTGGCAGATGAGCATTTGTGTACTTAGTCCGTTTAGATTCCCTTCTCTTCTTTTTCTGTGGCTTCGGAATCTGAGATCGAGGAACTCCTGCCATTGCCTCTCTTCGTGCTGAGTTTGTAGCCGGCTTCATGCCTGCCTTTTGCAACTCTCTCTCCACATCCATAAACTCTCGAGGTGTATCTATTCCCCTGATTAACTGCTTTAAATCCTCATCCACCTGCTTATATCAAAACAAGGAAAATCAAGGTGCATTTCACGTTACATTAAACTCATCGAGCCATGTGAACAAACATTATAATCAATACAACGAATACGTAAAAGTGATTCTCGTATCTCTCATATTTTAAGTAAAGATAAACAGATAAATCAATCAATAAAGCTCAATTGCTACAATGGAACATCCCATGAGCCGAAATGGTCCTAACCTGAGTACTGGTCTTTCGAGAAACCAGTAAAAAGGGAGGAACAGCGTGATGCAGGAACAACATACCTTAATATCGATTTTGGGATCATTTGGGTAGACGATGTCCTCTTGCGAATCACTGTTCATCAAAACCCAAACTTTCCCACTCGCTTTGAGATCCTGAGTAAGTATAAAAAAGGATATTAGCATTTGCACTAACGATCAAAATATTGTGTAAAAGTCGCACTCTGCACAATTGCTTCAAACAAATTCATACCTCAGCAAATAACGCGGATACACAACTTAAATACACCATTGTTGTGTGCTAAAATCATACAGTCAAGTATGGTTACTTACAAGATAAATTTCTCCTCCAAGCGACTACAATGAGTTTCTCTTAATATACATTTGGACGAATTACTAGCATGGATTGCAAACCAGACACGGCACGGTATCCGCGCTGCTTAGAAATCAACCATGCGTACCTGAACATCAGCAGCGATCCCAGGATACGAGTCTTTTAAATCACCCATGGGAACCCCTTCTGAAAGCTTCCTCACAAGAACAAGGAGTTCATCCTTATTTTTCAAGACGTGCTTAGACTGCCACAGCACAAAAACGAAATTCGTTAGCAAACTAAATCGCGAACTAAAGGTCTTCATTCCAGTAACCAGGAGAACTTGCAATAGAATTCACAAAATTGTTCGTAAGATCATGATAGCATAGGTGATGCATTTAGAGAAACCTTGTACGCGAATCGCTGCCCGTCGAACGAAACCTTCACATTGCTTTTCAAGCTCTCAAATACATCCTTGTTACCCTTTACATCGACAAAGCAGAGATCATTGATCTCTTCAGGAAGAAGTGACTGGCGTGTCTGCAAAAATCAATTTAAACAAAAATGTTGAGATCCGTCCAAGAATTTGTGTGAATATCATGCCTCCTACTGCACTCCCTGATTTAGGAATGTGAAGAGAAAATGGGTCGAATCATCCAAGCAACCAATATGTTTCACGTAACAAGGTTCAAAGCGAATGCGATTTGAGGCACAAGAAACAAAATTGAATCCCACTTCATACGCAGGGAAAGGACGTACTTCGAGCAAGAGATCGAGCACACGCTTAATTTGCGCACCGACGGGCGACTTCTGGATGGTGGCGATCTGTTGCAGCTTCTCTGTATCATTAGTAAAGGAGAACCGCTGCGCAAGCGGCACAAGGGGCTGCGACCGAGGGGGCGGGGCGGGGGCTTTGCGAGAGGCGGAGCCAGAGGCGGGTTTGGGACGAGTAGGGAGGGTGGCGAGAGAAGCTTGCAACTTCTCTTGCTGTTTATTAAACTGCGCGAGCTTCTGTGCTAACGCCATGGTATTGCAATGGGCGAAGACTGATTGATGCACACAGAACTGCTCCAGACAATTTCTGGCGATTCCCGGGTACACAATCCGACACGCGAAGGAGCCGAAACCCTAGAAATGCACAAATAGAGTTAATAAGGACAGGCTTCAAAGGAGGGGGAAAAGGTCCAAATGGGACGCATAACCATTGGTGGGGTGGCGTGGTGGTTCGAAGAGGAGTGAGAGGGAGAAGGGAGAAGAGAGGGAGATGAGGGCGGATCCCAGAAGAGCAGATTGGACTGCGAGTGCGGGACTGAAGAGGAAGAGGAAGTGGAATGGAGGGACGGGAAGAGGAGACTAAGAAAGAGAGCGAGGAGCCCCCACCCCCACCCCCTCGCATTGTGCTAGTGCATCGGTTAAGGCCCCCTTTTGCCCCCCCCCCCCCCCCCGGGGGCTCATTTCCCCAAAATGTGTGGTACTTTACAATAAAAATAAAAATACAAATAAAAACTCATTCGACGGAAATTTATTCATGATAATCATATCTAACCTTTGATTACTACAGTATTGGAGGCAAGACCTTTCTGCTTTATTAGTACATCAACACCCTTGTGTAATTATTTGACCATGATATATATATATATATATATATATGTATGTATGTATGTATGTGTGTGTGTTTGAAATGCAACATCCTTTTTAACTTTTACCATCTTCAAATTTCCTACAATTATATATATATATATATATATATAACAGACATGTCAGGTTTTTACATGGCTCATCTCTTAATGTTTAAATATATCAAGTATAACATTCTTATTGAAATTATTAGATATAATCATTTCAACTATTATTATCAAATAATTATAATCCTTGCGTAGTTGCATTATTAAAAAGTTATGAAAATTTAATCATTTGTAAAAATCCCATAAATATCACACTTACAATATCTTCTTTAAAATTAATTGATTATATCTAAGTTTAATGTATAAATAAAAAATTGTGCACATATTAAAAACAGAAGATCAAATAGCTACATATGAATTGCAGTCAGCAATTGAAAATACAAAACTATTAAAATTTAAAAATACCATCTATTAGTAGCTTAAAATTTAAAACTTCAAAATTCAAAATTATGTGCCTTATAATTATAAAATATGCAACACATATAATAATAAATACCTAAAATCTACTTGATACATTCATAAGAATAATTTTTTATATAATTAATTAATAAAATATCTTATTAAATTATTTTTAAGGAATATATTTGTATGTGTCACGAATATATTATATGTGAAACCAAATAAGAAGTTGAATCAAAAAGTTTCAATATAAAAGGTAATAAGAACTCGATTAAACCAAAAAAGTACTAGATTAATATCAAAAAGGTGAGCTAAAACTCCAATAGATGTATTATTGACATTGAGTATTCTCTTAGCCTTGACTTCAATATATACTATGTATTAGGAAGCTTCTCAAGAAGTTTCCATATTGCTTGAAGATGAAGCAATCTTAAGAAGCTTCTTTAATAACTTCCTTAATCTTTTAAAACTTTGTAGAATATTTTAAGATTTTTTAGAACCTTCTAAAAATCTTTTAAAATCTTTTAGAATCTAATAGAATATTCTAAAAATATTCTTAGAATCTTCTTGTTGAATGTCTGTAACATCACTTCCTCTTTTAATTTTGAATTCTACAAAAAACATTACTTTCATATCTATTTTCTTCATTATATATAACATCCTAATAGTAGCTTCATAGAGAAGTCATCTCAAAATAGGTTTAGGTTTTTAAGGATAGTATTGATGAAACTCTTATATCTTTTATGGCACATTAATTAAATTTTCTACTAGTTCTCACGTACATCCATTGATATCATAGCTATGCCAATGAATAAAATACTCCAACTTGCTTCTTCTTCATTAAGAATTAAGGATCTTTTCCACCTCATATTCCATATGATTATCTATTTTAATGCAAGGTAGTGATGGTTGTATTCTTTCTAGAATAATTGATTCTAAGTAAGTCTCTAAAGAGAAACATGAAAAATTGGATGTATCTTTATAAATGTAGATAGTCTTAACCAATAAGCCACTAGATTGATTTACTTTTGAATACAAAAAGGTCTTAGTTTTTGATAGTCTAACTTACTGCAGGGCAGTTTAGTCTTGATATTTTGTCAAAAAAAACCATATTTTATCTCCAATTTGAAAAACAAGGAATTCTTTTTAAAATTTGTTTGAAGATGCTTTGTAAGAATCTTGAGTTTGTAAATGGAGCTTTAAAGTTATCTAGAGCTGTGACAATTATTTTGCAAGATCTCCAATTGCTAAATTTTGATCTTTTGATGTATCTAATAAATTAAGCTTTTGATGGTAACCATAATTGGAGTAAAATTATGTTTTTTGAACCAAAACATGAAGAATATTATTATAAGCAAAGTCTACTAAAGATAAATATGAGATCTAATCATCTTGCTGATAATTGATGGTAAATTGCAAATATTGCTTCAAAACTTAATTGATTAGTTTTTTTTTACTATTTGTTTGAGGGTGAAAGATAGTAAAAAGTTTGATATCTACCTTCAATATTTTAAAAAAGATTTCTAAAAATTTGATATAAATTGAAATTATTGATAAAAAATGATATTATTAGATAGGCCATAATGTTGATATATATTATGTAGAAAGAACCTTACTATTTTTTTTTCTAAAAATTAACTTTTACATAGGATAAAATATTTTATTTTTGTAAGTTGATCCAAAATAATATAAATAGCATCAAATATAAGTGATGGTAGCAAATTAGTGATGAAATCCATTGATATTGAAGGCCATGGTTATTTTAGGATAAATAGTGGCTGTAGAAGTTGATAAGAACAATGTCAAAAATTCTTTGATCTTGAACAAATATCACATGAGACAACAAAATCTTTTGCGGACTTCCACATTTGAGGCCATAAAAAATCTTAAAAGATAAGCTTCAATGTTTTATTAAATCCAAAATATTTTATAATTGAAAAATCATTATGAAATTGAAGAACACGAAGTTGCATTGGTCTTTTTGGAATATATAAATAATCTTCAAAAGACAAAAGCTTTTCTATAAATTTGAACTTGTCATTGTCATGGCACTACTTGATTTTACAAACTAATGAGTTCTTAGTTGACGTTGTACAAATTTATTCAAAAAAACTTAAATCAATACGTATAACTATAGAATTAGAACAAAGATTATATTTTTTTAGATTCAAGAAAGTAATATATTGCTTATCAAATATTGTTTCTTTGACCTTTGGAGTAAGATATGATTTCTTTGATAAAATATTTGATGGTCTTTGTTGCTTTTATCATCAATATGTAATCATAAAATCAAAATGAGATAATGTCATATTTCAATGAACTTGGTGGCGATTCAAAATTCGAGCTAACATAAAATATTTCAAATTTTTGAGATTTTTATATACAATCATAAGATATGTAGCACCTTCCAATAAGTAATGCCATTTTTGGAAAGAATCTATAATAATAAGAAGCTCTTTATTACAAATATCATAATTAATCTCTATAACTAAAAACTTTCTAAAATAAAATATAATTAGATGGATCTTCCCATCTTTTTCCATTTATAATAGTATAGTTCTTAATGTAAAGTGAAAAGCATCAATCTCCAAATAAAAGGCCTTTATGAAATTTGGATGTAATAAAATTAGAGTTGTAATAAAAATTACTTTTAAATCTTAAAAAATCCTTTAGGCTTGAGGTCTCTATTCCAATTTATCTTTGGATGTCAACCAAGTAAGAAGAGCAACAAATTTAGAATAATTCTTGATAAATATACAATAAAAATTAGTAAATCCAAAGAAATATTGTACATCTTTAATTGTCTTTGGAGTTGTTTACTCAGTTACAACTTGAATTTTCTTTGGATCTATTAACATGTTTTTATTGGATATAATATTTCCAAAAAATTCTACTTTTTTTGATAGAATATATAATTTTTTAATTTGGCATATAATCTTATATCTTATAAGTTTTGTAAGATTAATCTCATATGTTCTTCATATTCTTTAGGAAGCTTGGAATAAATTCTGATATTATCAAGATAAGAGACAATAAACTTATCCAAGAATTCTTGAAAAATATTATTAATCAAATGCTAGAATATAGTTGAACCATTTGTAAATCCAAAAGATATAATATTATATTCAAAATATTTACATTTTGTTTAAAATATTATCTTTTATTTATTTATTTCTTTAATCTATATCAAATTATTGCCATAGATATATACATGTAAGTCAGTAATTACCTATATAAATATGTAGAAATAAGTAGAAGTACGTAAAAGTAAGTTAATTCTATAACATCTTCTATAGTAGCTTTTTAGAAGCTTCATAGATACTATCTTGACTTTATAGATGTCTATAATTGACTTTTTGGATTAAAAAAGTGATCAACAAGTTGGCCATGTGCCACACATGTTAGCTTGAAGACCAAGCTAATTATGTGGCCCACATATAGAAAAACTTGTCTTGTAAGTCAAAGCATATATCTTACAAAGTCAACACATATTGAAGGTCCTATAGAATATTACCATGTAGTCCCTAGTTAGATAGTATATATAGAGATAAGAGTGAAGCCCTCTTTACTCTTGTCAATTCATTTCTTGTTTTTAGTCTAGTTTCAAGAGTCTCAAGTTTCCTTGTCTTTTAGCAATAAGCCATTCCAGTTTCTTTTTAAAATACGTACTTCTTTTTGTTACTCTTTCTTTGATACAAATTTCATTGATTTATGCATCATCTTTTAGTTCATGTCCTTGACAGATTAGCAAAAATATACTTACAATATCAAAGCTTTATCTTGTCTTGACTAATAATGGATTATCCCTTTCTCATAATAAGATATAAGAATATTAGAAGTTACAGATTACCCTCTTTTAAATTGATATTATTCTTAATATTTTCTTTGTTTTCAAGTCCTTTCTTCTACTTGTCTTGAGTGGTATTAGATATTTTTTTTAATATTGTTATGGTTGTGAATGGATTTTTTTCTCGTCACTTAAATTTTAATTAATTAGATTATAACTTAAATTAGAGTCCAATATTAATTGATGTGGAGATGCAAATCATCTATAAGATAGAAAAACCAAAATGATGTTCAGTCATGCGACATTTGTTGAAGATCAAAAACTCCTTGTCATCGACCTTACGGACTTCTTTAACCATTATCTATTCTAGAACAACCATGGTCTTTTGTTTCTATGGATTTTATCATGGATCTTCCAATCTCAAGTTCTTATGACTCTATATTTGTGATAGTAGATCGTTTTACCAAGATGGCATATTTTATACTATGTACAAAATCTATCACAATTAAAGAA